TTTTTTTGGTAAAGCCCTTGTGCAAGGCCTCTATCCCGGTGGTGGTAAGAGAACCACCGGAATTGTGGCTTTGCCTGTTGGGCTGCTCCATCTATTGGTGGGGAGCGTCACCTGCTGGAAATCAGGTCCAGCGTCCCTTAGAAACATCATCTCAGTACTGACACCGACCCACTCAGATAAGCTCACAGCTTTTAGTCCACAAGAACAACTCTTTGCAGAGCATCAAACAACGAGGGTCTCACTCCACTATTCACCAAATGTGAAAAAAGGGGTGGGGCCATGTAAACACAAGTTCATTGAGAACAGGGACGAGGACCTATACTAAGAGTCTAAGACCTTTATGACCTTATGCGCTTTGGAGTTTTTGGAGTTGGTGAAAGAAGAAGTGTATAGACAAACAAGGTCCCTTTTTCTGTTTTTTTGTAGACAAACAAAGGTCATTCTTTTTGTACCTTCTCTTTCACAGAGTGAGCAGCCACGAAGCATCCGATGTACCGCCTCTTTCACAGAGTGAGCAGCCACGAAGCATCCAATGTACCGCCTTCCCCCGAATAGAACACCCGGTCATTATATCTGTATTAAACCTAGGCTACCAGCCGGGCCGCCCGGGTCCCGGGTGCCCAGCCCGTGCAAGGACCAGGGAAGGTCCCAGCAAAAAAAAAGAAAAAGAAAAAAAACTCCAAAAAATCCGGAAAAAAAAGTTTGAAAAACTATGTTATGCAGAAAACTAAACTGGACACCTTTTGCCTCAGGGTCACATCGAAGTTCTTCATCAAATGAAGAATAAAAAATAACTTTTAAAAATATTTCTTTTTATTTTTATTTTTATTTTTTTTAAAGAGTTTTGGCCCGGCCCGGCAAGTAACCCCGGGCCACTCTGGTAGCCTAGTATTAAACTGTATTAAACTGTATTTGTTTGCAATTTGGGGTCACTTTTAGTCTAGATAAAGTGAAAAATGACGGGGGCCACCCATTGCCGGCAATCCAGTGAAGAAGCCAAGGCACCAAAAGCACAGCATATATTCCGAATATGTGTGTAATGCCTTTGGGTGTGCCGTATAGCTCAACACACTACAAAAGCTCCACATGCCTCGTTCTACATCGGTCCCCCGCATTCAGGTAGTCCTACCATGTATGGGCCCTGGTTAATCTGTCTTCGAATCTCTGCTTGCTTGCTTGCTTGCTGATCGCATCGATTTCCTGTCCATTTTTTCTTTTTCGATCCAATGTCCCCCGACTCCCGAGTTCGAGTCCTCCTCTCACTGCTGTATGAAAAAAGAACGGGTTCCCACTCACGAATCAATCTGTGAGCAGTAGGTAACCGAGGCCTGTCCATTTTGTCATGGTCGTTATAGCAGAGCTTCCGCACCTTTTTATTTGAACTCATGACCAATCCATAAAGTGGAAAGGAATTAAACCAACAGAAGGGGGGGAAGAAAAGTGAACCCTCTTTGCCTGATGGTCCCTCTTCAAGTCTTTTTTTTTTTGTTGTACTCCTTACCTGGTTCTCTATATCATTGTGGTCTTCTGCCCCGTCCCTGATACGGTCCTGTGGACTCCGGTCCTACTCTCGCGTGTGGCAAAACCGCCCATTCTCGCTCCTCTCCTTCTCCTCGCTTGCAGTCCTCCTCCAGCTTCAAATCCTGCCCCTGTTTTTTTCCTGTTAATGTGTGTGTTTGTGTATGTGTGTATTCCATACTTGGGCGCACTTAACCGGTGCGCCGTGCGCTGCGCTGCGCCGTGCGCCATGCGCTCACGGGTGATGTGTGCGCACGTGCGCACCGCGCGCACTGAGCGCGCACTGGCAGTGCGCTGTGGTGCGGCCGAGTGACCCCCATGCCCGCGCACCTGCGGATACCTTCCTTTCTTTTTTTTTTTTT